CCGCGGAGATATAACCTTCCAAAACATCAAGACTTTTTCGATGATTTTTTTTAATATCTCGGGTAAATAATGTCTGATTTTAAAATGTTATACCATTTTGAATGCGTACGGATCCCTACCATCAATTGGCATTCAAACAAATTAATCATCGAGGGGTTGAAGAATGTTGTTGACAAAAAACCGATTCGTTCGTAATTTCAACCTTTTTGATGATGATTTGGAATATTTCCGTCAAATAATGTTCGATTCTGCAATTTCATACCAATTTTGACTCGTAGGGATCAGTTCTATCGATTGACATCAAAAAAAGGAAATCCAAATTTTGACCCAAATCGACAAAATAGCAAGGGGTTACATCACGATTGTTTTCAAAATCGAGGTCGGTGCGAAAATCGAAACTTTTTCGATGCTTTTTTTTTTAATATCTCGGGTAATAGCTCCGCGCGGAGATATGACGTTTCAAAACGACATAACTCCACGGAGATATAACCTTCCAAAACATCAAGACTTGTTCGATGATTTTTTTTAATATCTCGGGTAAATAATGTCTGATTTTAAAATGTTATACCATTTTGAATGCGTACGGATCCCTACCATCAATTGGCATTCAAACAAATTAATCATCGATGGGTTGAAAAATGTTGTTGACAAAAAACCGATTCGTTCGTAATTTCAACCTTTTTGATGATGATTTGGAATATTTCCGTCAAATAATGTCCGATTTTGGAATTGTATACCATTTTTGACTCATAAGGATCAGTTCTACCGATGGGAATCAAAAAAAGGAAATCCAAAATTTTGACCCAAATCGACAAAATAGCAAGGGGTTACATCACGATTGTTTTCAAAATCGAGGTCGGTGCGAAAATCGAAACTTTTTCGATGCTTTTTTTTTTTAAATATCTCCAGTAATAGCTCTGCGCGGAGATATGACGTTTCAAAACGACATAACTCCGCGGAGATATGACCTTCCAAAACATCAAAACTTTTTCGATGATTTTTTTAAATATCTCGGGTAAATAATGTCTGATTTTAAAATGTTATACCCTTTTGAATGCGTACGGATCCCTACCATCAATTGGCATTCAAACAAATTAATCATCGATGGGTTGAAAAATGTTGTTGACAAAAAACCGATTCGTTCGTAATTTCAACCATTCTGATGATTTTTTGGAATATTTCAGTCAAATAATGTCCGATTTTGGAATTGTATACCATTTTTGACTCGTAGGGATCAGTTCTATCGATTGACATCAAAAAAAGGAAATCCAAAATTTTGACCCAAATCGACAAAATGGCAAGGGGTTACAAGGGGTTTTTTTCAAAATCGAGGTCGGTGCGAAAATCGAAACTTTTTCGATGCTTTTTTTTTAATATCTCGGGTAATAGCTCCGCGCGGAGATATGACGTTTCAAAACGACATAACTCCGCGGAGATATGACCTTCCAAAACTTGTTCGATTTTTTTAAATATCTCGGGTAAATAATGTCTGATTTTAAAATGTTATACCTTTTTGAATGCGTACGGATCCCTACCAACAATAGGCATTCAAGCAAATTAAACATCGATGTGTTGAAAAATGTTGTTGACAAAAAACCGATTCGTTCGTAATTTCAACCTTTTTGATGATGATTTGGAATATTTCCGTCAAATAATGTTCGATTTCTGCAAATCGATTCTGCAATTTCATACCATTTTTGACTCGTAGGGATAAGTTCTATCGATTGACATCAAAAAAAGGAAATCAAAAATTTTGAACCAAATCGACAAAATGGCAAGGGGTTATAAGGGGTTTTTTTCAAAATCAATTGGGGCGAAAATCGAAACTTTTTCGATGCTTTTTTTTAATATCTCCGGTAATAGCTCCGCGCGGAGATATGACGTTTCAAAACGACATAACTCAGCGGAGATATGAACTTCCAAAATATCCAAACTTTTTCGATGATTTTTTTAAATATCTCGGGTAAATAATGTCTGATTTTAAAATGTTATACCATTTTGAATGCGTACGGATCCCTACCATCAATTGGCATTCAAGCAAATTAAACATCGATGGGTTGAAAAATGTTGTTGACAAAAAACCGATTCGTTCGTAATTTCAACCTTTTTGATGATGATTTGGAATATTTCCGTCAAATAATGTTCGAGTCTGTAATTTCATACCATTTTTGACTCGTAACGATCAGTTCTACCGATGGGAATCAAAAAAAAGGAAATCCAAAATTTTGACCCAAATCGACAAAATAGCAAGGGGTTACATCACGATTGTTTTCAAAATCGAGGTCGGTGCGAAAATCGAAACTTTTTCGATGCTTTTTTTTTTAATATCTCGGGTAATAGCTCCGCGCGGAGATATGACGTTTCAAAACGACATAACTCCGCGGAGATATAACCTTCCAAATCAAGACTTATTCGATGATTTTTTTTTAAATCTCGGGTAAATAATGCCTGATTTTAAAATGTTATACCACTTTGAATGCGTACGGATCCCTACCATCAATTGGCATTCAAGCAAATTAAACATCGATGGGTTGAAAAATGTTGTTGACAAAAAACCGATTCGTTCGTAATTTGAACCTTTTTGATGATGATTTGGAATATTTCCGTCATACCATTTTCATACCATTTTTGACTCGTACCGATGGGAATCAAAAAAAGGGAATCCAAAATTTTGACCCAAATCGACAAAATAGCAAGGATTGTTTTCAAAATCGAGGTCGGTGCGAAAATCGAAACTTTTTCGATGCTTTTTTTTTAATATCTCGGGTAATAACTCCGCGCGGAGATATGACGTCTCAAAACGACATAACTCCGCGGAGATATGACCTTCCAAAACATCAAAACTTTTTCGATGATTTTTTTAAATATCTCGGGTAAATAATGTCTGATTTCAAAATGTTATACCTTTTTGAATGCGTACGGATCCCTACCAACAATAGGCATTCAAGAAAATTAAACATCGATGGGTTGAAAAATGTTGTTGACAAAAAACCGATTCGTTCGTAATTTCAACCTTTTTGATGATGATTTGGAATATTTCCGTCAAATAATGTTCGATTCTGCAATTTCATACCATTTTTGACTCGTAGGATAAGTTCTATCGATTGACATCAAAAAAAGAAAATCCAAAATTTTGACCCAAATCGACAAAATGGCAAGGGGTTACAAGGGGTTTTTTTCAAAATCGAGGTCGGTGCGAAAGTCGAAACTTTTTCGATGCTTTTTTTTTAATATCTCGGGTAATAGCTCCGCGTGGAGATATGACGTTTCAAATCGACATAACTCCCCGGAGATATGATCTTCCAAAACATCAAAACTTTTTCGATGATTTTTTTAAATATCTCGGGTAAATAATGTCTGATTTTAAAATGTTATACGTTTTTGAGTGCGTACGGATCCCTACCATCAATTGGCATTCAAGCAAATTAAACATCGATGGGTTGAAAAATGTTGTTGACAAAAAACCGATTCGTTCGTAAATTCAACCTTTTTAATGATGATTTGGAATATTTCCGTCAAATAATGTCAGATTTTGGAATTGTATACCATTTTTGACTCGTCAGGATCAGTTCTACCGATGGGAATCAAAAAAAGGAAATCCAAAATTTTGACCCAAATCGACAAAATACTAAGGGGTTACATCACGATTGTTTTCAAAATCGAGGTCGGTGCGAAAATCGAAACTTTTTTGATGCTTTTTTTTTAATATCTCGGATAATAGCTCCGCGCGGAGATATGACGTTTCAAAACGACATAACTCCCCGCAGGTATAACCTTCCAAAACATCAAAACTTTTTCGATGATTTTTTTAAATATTTCAGGTAAATAATGTCTGATTTTAAAATGTTATACCCTTTTGAATGCGTACGGATTCTACCATCAATAGGCATTCAAACAAATTAAACATCGATGGGTTGAAAAATGTTGTTGACAAAAAACCGATTCGTTCGTAATTTCAACCTTTTTGATGATGATTTGGAATATTTCCGTCAAATAATGTCCGATTTTGGAATTTCATACCATTTTTGACTCGTAAGGATCAGTTCTAACAATTGGCATTAAAAAAAGGAAATCCAAATCGGTGCGAAAATCGAAACTTTTTCGATGAGTATACCCATTAAAAATGGGTATAAGGGTATATTGTATTTGTGCAAAATCCAAATGTATGTAACAGGCAGAAGGAAGCATCTCCGACCCCATAAAGTATATATATTCTTGATCAGCATCAATAGCCGAGTCGATATAGCCATGTCCGTCTGTCTATCCGTCCGTCTGTCCGTCGGTATGTATGAACGGAAGGATCTCAGAACTTAAAATAGTTAGAGACTTGAAATTAGGTATGTAGGTCCACCTAGTGCCCGCGCAGTACGAGATTGTTTCCGATAATCGATAACTTGCCCTGTTTCCAAGTAACCGAAAAATCAATATCGAAATTATGCGTTTTGAGCAAATGAGGTGAGAGAATTTCTGTATACATTTACACATTCATGCGCGTTTTCTGCGCTCTATTAAATTCGTTTTTTTTTTATTAAAACTCAATTATTGGTGTTGCTGTTGAGTAGAGGCGTGCGGCCTGTTCCGAACCCTACCGGCAAAACATTTTTTGTTTAATTTATTTTTATAACTACCAAAGCAAGCGATCGCGAGCTTCATTTAGCGTTGGAAGAAGAAGGCTCAGGGTATTCCGTATTCGGAAGCTCCCGACTACTTGTTTTTTTTTTCATCTTCAAGATACATGTGGACAATTCGTCATAAAATTGGGTAGATTATTCATATAGATTGAGAACAATGAGGAACCTACGACTAAACCTGTTTAAAAACTTAGAAGCGAAGAGAAAAGAAAAATTTCTTTAGTTTTGCACATAGTATGCTTACGCTTAGAGTTTCAAATACTTTGTTGATATCAAGCTGGGTGAGAATAGTCATTTTGCCCGTTTATTTTCCAATATTCTTAGTTATCATTACATTGTAACACAGCGCGTTTATAAAAATTAACATGGTTTAATGTCACTATAATACAGCTTTATTTAGTCATATTTTAATAAATCTATATCAAACATTTACATAATCTTGCATGTGCAATTAGGAACCGATATTCAATTGACCTGACAGTAGATTGTCTAATATACAAAAACCCTTAGGATATTATCTATTATTAATATATTTTGGAACTTCCAGCATAACCCACGCGATCAGAAGAGCATTGTTTATCACGGAGTATAGCATTATTTTTAATACCGGTGATACATCAACTGAAAATTATAGAGTTAAACATGTGTGCTAGATTCTCGCCCTCAACATATGCGACACTATGATAGTGACAGTTAAAGCAATGACCTGCGCAGAATTTAATTAGTTATTTTAATGAGTTTGCGAAAATAAGTTCAAAGGCAGTTTTATTAATTATAAGAAAATCGTATTTTGGCATTTGAAGATAATTGCTGCAGCAGGAGGGTACTAGTCCTTACGTAAATATCTGCAAGAAATTAAGTACATATTAATATATATATTATATAATACACCGTTTTTCTCAACAATTTTCATATTCAGTGGCTCAATTGCCTTGAACCCATTTGCGACTTCATTTAGTTTAGATTCTTCCTTTGCGCATAGATTGAATGAATTCCACGTTGTCGTCTTTGCTCTCATTTCCTGTGCTAGACAGCTCAAACTGATATGCAGGCCGACATCACTTATGTCTAAAATGTCTATCGCAGTCGAAAATATTTGGACCTCCAGTGCTCCATACACCTGATACATCTGCTCCAATACATTATAAACTAAAGTGTTCGGTTGCGGGCGACACTATTCTGTAATGTTATTTGTTTTTGGCTTAGCAATGTTAATCTTATTTTTTTTTTGCCTTTGTCTTTGGATTTAAGTGACTTATAGTATAATTCAACCGTCCAACATTCTTACATGTTTTTGCGAATATAACATTTTTGTCGAATGTTAAAAATGGGGCCTGTACATAATCCCATAGGAAAAAATGTCAAAAATATGACATTTTCTCAAACTGTGTATATTCGCCCCGAACAATTCGAGTACTTTTTCCACTCACATGTTACCGACGGCGGGCACTTGCCAATGGAACCACAAAGTGGGAGATTTAAAATGTAACATTTTTTGAGCATAGTGGAATTAGGCTATAAGCGGACGTCTGTATGCCAGTTCTCATGGCTAAATTTTCCTAAGGCTGTCTTGATTAATTTACTTTAACAACAGATTCAAGTTCACTGCATCACTGTCATTTAATTTTATTATTCATTTTATAATTTAAAACTGATTTTATGTCAAAAGGCAGATGGAGAGTAGTATAAGATAGAAATATATGACACGTGGTAATTGCTAGTAATAAAAAATTATCGAGAGTCTGATTTGTGATGTTGAGCAGAGCGGACATGGTGAAAAGCGCGGACTCAAGAATTCATCAAAAAATACTATAAGGTAAAAGTATATAAATAAATAATAATCGTAAATAATCAAAGTCATGTATATACGTTCACCCTATTGGGCTAAGTACATGCCGCGGCTGCCAACGCCACCAGGACGCTTCCCCTTATTGTTGAAGTCCTTCCTTCCCTTAAACAGCGACTGAGGAGGGGGTACGTCTGTTCTCAGGACCCCTGAAACGACAGGATCTATCGCCGTATCCCCAACAGGGTTAAGAAGGAGGTGACTATTCTAAACAAAAAACTCAGACACCATGCTGGAGTAAGCAACGGTAGACGAGAGCTCCACTTACGCGCTGTGGAAACTATACAGGCTATACAAACAGCACGTTGCGCCAAATTTTCCCGTCCGACATCCCGATAGCTCCAGTGCCAGAAGACTGAGTCGAAGCAGTAATTTAAAACCTGGAAGAGCCTTTAAGACGATTAATACCGCATCGCATGGCAGAAGCCAGCGCACAAGGTCTAATGTCCCTCCCGCAGCCCTTATCATCTTCCAAAAAGTCAAGCAGGAGATAAAGAGCTTCAAACATAATAAAGCCAGTGGGGAAGATCGTTTGGACAACCAGACAAATAAGTTACTGCCGTACAAGGCACTGTTTTTTCTCGTCGTCTAGTGGCCAGGAAGAACGCGCAAATCACTATGAGCGGAGAGCTTCCTAATCAGTTAGGGTCCTTTCGCCCCGTCAGCGTCCTGCCTGCCTTCGGCAAGATTCTGGACCGTTAAATCCCGAAGCTCTAATTTGGGTTCCGACTCAAGCATGGCTAACTCCAGTTTGGACTTAACCACAGGAAGGAAGAAGTTTATAAATGGACCACAGAAAGGCCATCTCCTGATGGCCACGTTTGCATGCTCGAACAGATGGGCGAATGAAGCGGCAGACATCCTGCAGGCTGACATTTCAGTGAACATTGAACTATGTGCTGCGGTCACTCATACCGTGCGCAAAGACTCCTGCCTCGGACTTTTTCTCCATAGTGAGCTCTTAAAGCAGGTGAGTCACCACAAATTCTTCGGAGACATTCTCGACTTACGTTTAAGAAACATATCACCGAGGTAACCAACAATGTCTGTAGAAAAATCAGGTGAACGAGCTGACTGCTCAACTCTAACGACAAACTCTTGTTCCGAAACAAGGTCCTCATCTAGAACGTATTAAATAATGGCGATATAGGCTGAAAGCTTACGGTATAGCCGCAAACACTCATTTGAATAAAGTTCTCATAATCCAGGCCAAGACCATGCGAAAAATGTCTGGAGCTGAATATATTCTAGCACGGGATATCGCAAAAGGCCTTAAGGTTCTAATGATAGGCGGCGTTGTCAACAGATAAGCAGCTAATTACCAATTTAATCTCCGCAACTACCAAAGGACCTGCTTTCTTATTTTCGATTTCGTTATTTATTTTTATCGCTTTCACTGAGACTTAGCTAGACTTGACATCACTGATTCTTCAGCGCTTCTTTCCGAATACACTACTTCAGACTCCATCGAGTCAGTCGTATTGGAGAAAAAGTAAGGGCTAAGTATGCCCTTTTGTCGTTTGACCTCCCTTCTAGTTGTATGTGTAATAATAATTTCCGCGTTTCATCTCACTTTCGATTTGATCATTAAATTTAAAATACGTGACATTATAAACAGTGGGTCGAATCTATAGTTTTTGCATGGCTTTTATTTAAACTTGGATGCAAGTGAACTTGTCCTGTATAGTTATGCAGACATTAATGTAGCAATTACAGCCTTGAGCTTGCTTCTTGATGTCTACGTTCTATTCGATTATCCAGTGAGGTTTCAGTTGAAATTGAAAAGATTTTAATTTCTCCCTCTAAGCAGTTTCCAGATCAATATTCTTAATGCAAAATTTGAAATTGCCGGCTTTTTTCTTTTAAAGAGCAAACGCAAGACGTCCTAATCGCCATTTTCGGTAAAGTTTGCCAATGGGAGTGGGAATTCTAATGCGAGCATTGCCCATCATATTTTCAACACATTGGCAAGATATTTTTATTATATTCCTCTTTATTACATTAGTTTGAATCCGATTATCACTGAAAGTTCACTATTTAACGGCCCTTACGTAATCAAGTCGGTGTGCCCACCAATTCCTGAGTGTATTCTTGTCTGCTTAGGTACTGTGCTGCAACCCTCTTCATAAAAAGGCAATAAATCAAATAAAAAATAGAAAACTATAGGTATTTGCAAATTGTCTGCTTAATTTCAACTGCGACAATTATGCAGTTCTATTATTTCACTACCTAATCACGGGTTCGTGAAGCGTAGATCTACAACCATTAACCTTCATAAGTTTACTTTGCCAGTCATTTATAATTTTAAGCAAAGGATACGCGCTGATTTAATCAATACTGATTTTGGTAGGGTTGAATTAATCACTTCATGTTGATTCAAAAAAAATGTATTCTCGTTTTCCTAGTCACTTTTCCGAACTGGATTTCAGAGTATTTGTTTACTCTTTACTCCTGTTATCAACAAAATTATTTGTTTCTATTGTTATCCTCGAATAAACTGTCAAAATAGGATTTGCCTTATTGATCTCGGTCATAACATGAGATAATCATGACCAAAATTTGAATCAGGCACTTCACAACTTCATACTTTTAACACGTCCGAGCAGCTTAAAAAGTTTACTGGACACTAGGAGTGCAAGACATTAACGTCGGCTTTTAATGAACTACAAAAAGTTAGTTTATATAAAAGCCACAACCACACATCATAGGCATACTTTATTACGCGAGAGTGAGATATTTCATGCTTAGATACTGAAATCTAGTTATAAAGATTGAGGTGGAGGCCAAGAACACGTCATATTGGAATCAGGAGTGATTGACTGAATCGAAGTTATGCTTCGAAAATTTCATGTACCCGTAACGTTTCAATACGGATAATTTATGAGAAAAGTAATATTTCACAAGATGTGTTTTGTGCATGTGTTAAATATTGTATTACACGACTATCTAAGTTTTTCTACAGTATGCCTATAATCTGTTATTTACCCTTGCAGTGTATTTTGTTTATTTATTTTTTTTTTTTCACGAAATTAAAACACAAATTTGATTCACATAGGCATGTGTGAACATTCCATAATATCCATTCAACAAATATTGGTTTGAGTTTCATGCACTTGCTTATGCTTATTATTAAACAAATTAATTATTGTTTGTTTTCGATTATAAAATTGATGGAAAATAAACCTGCAGGGCTATAAATTAATTATGTCTGGAGCAGTTAGACCGTATATGGTGAATAACCGCTTGGGACTCGCTAACATTCTTTTCATTGACTCATTTTTGTTGATGAAATTATTGTTGGTTGTGCTGGTTCTGTGAGAAATCGCCTTGTGCCTTTATAAGCGATTTGTATCACTAAGCGGCAATATTTTCTTAGGCGAATGTAGAAAGCAGTCAAAGGAATATATTAATATGTCGGCTTCTGGTCACCAAAAGTTACTTTTAATGGATGTGGCATTGCGATGGTCTTTATATTCACTATATTTTCACTTCGGGAAGACGATGCTCTCTCGACGGCATCAACTTTCAAACTGGCAAGAATGTGACTATAATGCCTGTTTTAATGAATTGTAGTCTTCCGAGACCACAAATTCATTGTTTCTTTTACAAATGAGAAAATAAGACGTGCATATTGAAGCATGATTTGTCTCTTTTGTACGCTTGGTATGGCTAAGCGCGACTGAATGCTTGCCATCTCGTTTTACAGTTCCCACCAATAAGAATTAAGGGTGGGATTAAGTAAAAGGTTTTATAAACAACAGTTGACCAATGACCAAAGTCTTATAAATGCCTGAAAACTATTCAAACATTATCAAATCAGTATAGTTAATACATTTGTTTTAAGGGAATTATATTAAATTATAATGAAAGTTAATATAATTAATTTGTATATCATTTATATGCCATTTGGCTATTTAAGTAAATGATATCTTTACACAAAGCATCCAATTCAATTATAAAAACACGTAAGAGGCTCATCCTTCCACCCTCTTTTACCAACACCAAATACAGCTCGCACTGCGAGCTCGTTCTCTTTTGCAGCAATAACAAGTAAGAGGTTCTAGTCGAGACTTGCTGACTATGCGATACCCTGAACCCTCTTATTTGAACACTCGCGCTATGCGCACGCTTGCTTTAGTAGTAAGAAAAATAAATTAGAACAAAAATTAAATTTTTTTCTTCGCTGGGGTTCGAACTCGCAGCAAACAACACTATTTGCCGCCGCCTCTACTCAACAGCCACACCAATAACTGGGCCTTAATGAGAAAAAAATGATTCAAAATAGCAGCACAGACAGCAGAGTCGGGAGCTCCCGACTAGGAGATACCCTGAACTCTCTTCTTCCAAAAATGCAAAAAAAGTTTCCTCGGTAGGGTTCGCACTTGCAGCAACCGCACTATTTGCCCCGCTACTACTCAACAGCAACACCAACAATTGAGTCTAATAAAAAAAAAATAGAAGTAGCAGTACAAAAAACAATACAATCGCAATTCGGTTGATAGAATTCAATGAATACGCGTTTGAATTTGTGTGTGTACATATTTATAGAAATTCCTGCAAAACATGTTTTATTTAATAACTTCTGCATTTCTCAACCGATCTTGTTGAAATTTAGTATAGTCCAACTTATTGTGCTATAATTCAATTGTATTTAAATTGTGTCTTCTACTGCTGGGCAGTAAAGTTTTGTATATTCACTTAATTTATATCTATGAAGTAGTAGCGAGAAGGTAAGGATAGCTATAAAATGAAAGATACTTGATATATATATTCTAGTAACTACATGTTAAGTTTAGTGGCTTTAGCTCTTATTATTTACCAAAATTGCTCAAATAAGAGGATTTCGATATCGACTCTAATGGATTACTTGGAAACGGGGCAAGTTATCGAGATTCGGAAACAAACTCGTTCTGCGTAGGCAGTAGGAGGAACTATGTTTAAAAATTTCTCTAGCTTTCATAGGCTCTGCGATCCTTGCGTTCATACACACGGGCAGACGGACGGACAGATAAAGCCATGTTGGCTTAATCTCAAGGGATTCGAAAATACAAAGAGCCAAAACAAAGCGTCGGACTGGCTTCCCTCCAGGATCCTGCTTGCACAGTGTCCCTTTGGTGCCAATTGAATGCATGCTGGGCGAAAGCAACATATTCCCTCATTGGTCGGAGGGGCCGCTCTTAAATCTCAAAAATTCAATGTTTTTGATTGAAACGCAACTCCATGTTGAGCAAAGTTCTACCCGCGATTTGGGTATAAACCACAGCCACCACGATACTCCCCGAAGGGCCGCAACCAAAAAGTCAGTACGGAACAAGTTCCGCGGGCTCCTGGCTACCCGTGGTACCAAAATTACAGCTTTGGTCGACTGTTGTAGCAAGCATTCTACTACCCAGTTTAGTCTTCCGTCAGACAAAGAATGGGTCATCTTGTTTCGCCGCTCGATTTAGCTGGCTGCCGAAATCAACTATGGGCAATCACCCAGGGTCACCACGAGGGGGCCACATATTTGTGGGCCTACGAGTCGAGTTGACTAATGATTTACGAAATACGCAACATGCTCTTCTACATTGGTCCATTGAACCCCAGACGGACGGGCAGACAGGCTGACGTAGCTAGATCGACTCGCGTAGCTCGATCGACTCACCTGTTGAATCTGATCAAGAATATATATTTTTTATGGGTTCAGGCTATACAAAAAAAAAAAAAAAAATCATAAATACGGACGGATACATGCGTATATTTATCTATGTATGTCCTGCAAGCATTTATTTTAACAAATATTTTTGAGCGCTGTCAAAATTAGATAATTAAGACTATGTACCATTAATAAATTGGTTTTCAGAATATATAGTCACACTCACTGTGGGTGGGACAAATTAAGGTAGTTAGTGTGTATGTAATCTGCGTATTGTGATTAACTCACATCCCAAGCCGTAAGATCTAGGACACTGAAAATTGCAAATCGATAAC